TTTTACTCTAATTACAAGCTATGAAGCTAGTTAGCCTGTTACTGTTTCATGGACAAAAATAGAAGATATAAGATGCTGGGTCAAAAGACTTTATTATCCATAATATAGCAAACAGTTATGAGCATCATGTCAGTGACAGTTCACCTTCCTCTTTAAGATCTCCTGACAGAGATGCATGCATTAGTGGACACTCTATTACTAGGTGGGTTTCCATCACAGCTGAAGAACAATGAGCTTAGAGAAATTATCATTTTTTATAATAAACAGAAGAAGGTGTTTTATCTGCTCTTTTTTCTGAGGAGTTATTACATCATCTCTCAAAGGTGCTAACAACAAACATAGTAGCCAGGTCTGCATTCCTGGCATACCCAGTACAAACTTTTTCAGGGATGCTTAGGGCTCATGAAAGACTAAATCACCCAACACAATCCTATTCAATCTAACCCCAGAGCAAAAATATAATGTGTTACATTTCAAGAAGCAAACTACCTTTATTTACACACAACATTAATTATTTACATCAAAAAGATGGTAGAATTCTTTTTTTTTTTTTGTACCAGAGATTGAACTCAAGAGTTCATATGACCACTGAGCCACATCCCTACCCCTATTTTATATTTTATAGAGATGGGGGTGCTCACTGAGTTGCTTAGTGCCTCACTTTTGCTGAGGCTGGCTTTGAACTCTCAATCCTCCTATCTCAACCTCCTAAGCCATTGGGATTACAGGTGTACACCAATCGCACCCTCTGGAATTCATTATTAAAAGTTTTTAGATTAATAAAAAAATCTAGCAAAGTTGCAGGCTACAAGGTCAACATACAAAAACCAATTGAAATTATATTTACTAACAACAAACAATTGGATTTTTAAAGTTAGGTGTTATTTTCAATAAAGAAATTAAGTAGAAACAAATCTAACAAAATATATGCAAGATGTATAGCAAAAGACCTAAATAACATGGATAAAAGAAATCAAATATATAACATTAAAAAAAAGAAAGAGATTGTGTCCATAAGTTGAAAGACTCAATAATGTTGACAGTTTTCCCAAAATCCATCTGTAGCTAAATTCTGTAAAATCAAAATAACATGATTTTTTGTAGGTATCATGGTCCTAAAATGGAAACTAGAAGGTAGTAGTAACTGAAGATATATTGCTGAATATAACTAGCAGAAAGTCACCTGGGATGACATTCATTAGAGGTTAATAGTAAACTCTTAAAATACATTCATTCTCCCAAATGAATAACCAAGTTGTACAACGGATGTTACTGAATCCACAAGATTACAGCCAGCCATTCAATTGTGTCTCTCATCAAGCATAAGACTCAGCCCAGAAGAGGGGAATTGACATAGCTTTGTTAAATATATAATCCAGCTCATAAATGATTTGGCCTCAAAACAAAGAAATTAAGAGAAGAATTATGCAAAGAAAAGGAAACAACAGAAAAAAAAACAGTGGGAGCAGGAGCACAAACATGGCTGTTTGTATAATTCTTTGATTAAAATAAAAGAGGAGAAACTTCAGCAAAATGCTTAATATTTAGAGGATGCAAAGACAGATAAAAAGCAGTCAAAACAGTAATCCATAAAATTGGGGGTGAAGTAATAATTTGGACAAAGCCCCAGACACTCCAACAGTAATACAACAGAGGGAGGATAGACTATAGTAATAGTCACAGTATCTAAAATCTAGGTTCAAATGAAAAAACAGAAAGAAATGCCAGATATTTATTTTTGTAATGTATGTCATGCTAACAAAAGACACAACTACAAATAAATATTGCAAAAAATAAAAATTAAAAATTTTAATTGTTCCACTTAGTTGGGGTAAGGAAGAAGAGGAAAGAAAAGCTTGTGGCATTTTCTATCTCCTAAAAATATCCAATTCTGATGCATGCACTTTATCCAATTTGATTAGTTTTCAATTATTCTCTTATAGATAATGAATCATCACTGTTATTGACTCTCTATTACCTTGGCTTTGCCCCACTTGAAGAAGGTTTCAGCAGATGGTCCATTTCTATCTTTCTGATAAAACATTTATTGTGAAAGAAATTTAAAGTTGAGAAGCCAAATGAAATTTTTAAATTGATTTTCCCTAGGTTCCAGTATCAGAGAGTTCAGAGTTAACTATATTAAGTATTCATTGAAAAAGCACCCTTTCTAAAACAATACAGTTTAAAAACTGATTTTCCACAATTAAACCCTACTTTTGTTTATATACTTTGTAAAAGGTTTGAAAGCACTTTTAGTTAATTCCAATGTATCATCAAGTTGAGTTTTTTACTTAGACACTCAAGAGAATCAGAATTACCCACAAGCTGGACAAGAATGTTTTGATATGAATAATGCAATGTAAACAGTGGCAGTTGTCCAAATTTAAGAAGACAAATGTATAAAATTAAAAGTCAAAGACCCTATATCAGGACTTTTTAGAATTAAAAGAGATAAGCAATCAAAATATTTAAAACTAAAAGCATAACTTTTGAAAAAGGATTTAAGTGAGCTATGTTTTGAGATTAGATACACATTTGTTGTTTTTTTTTAATTATCACTGGGAAAGCCAAACTGCTTTCCCAGCTTATTAAAAAAAAAAATTAATCTACAAAATTATTTATAATATAAGATTTGATTCAAATAACCAATTGTAGCATTCTTCAAAATCAGTTACCTATATGAATATAAAACATACTAAATGCACAAGTTTGGAAAATGTGTTACTATGGAAACAAGAATATAAATTCTGATATGTAATTTGAATAATTTCTTCATGAAAGTAACATAATCTGATTCTCAGCATATTTGTTAAAAACAGGGAATGTTAGGAATATTCTGTGAACATATGAGTAACTTGTAAGCACCAAATAAATTTCTGATTTTTGAAAAGAAATAAAATAAGACTAAGCATTGAATTCATTTTTTAAAATTATTGTTTGTGAAATCTTATGCATCTTTAGCCACAGTCACCTATACGCAGGATAAACAGCAATATTCTGGCCTTAGCATTTTTTGCTACAATTACTGCTTACAGAAACCTCAGATTTTGTTTCTTAGAAATAATTTGAATATAATATGGAAACACTGTCTCACAAAGAGATAAGCAAAGCAAAGAAATACGTTTCCAACAAAAAGAATCAAAGCTACTCTATGATCCAAAGAAAGCTTGATTCACCAAATGTTATATAATCAATAATCAGTGACTGAACCTAGATTATCCAATTTTAAGTCCAATACTTTCATAATTTTCCAAAGAGAGAGCTAGCTACCTAGGAGGGTGGGGTTTGCAGAGTTCTAACACTGACTCTAATAGTTAACTTATCTAGACTTTTTCAAGTCAACAAATTTCTCTGTACCTTATTTTCTTCTATTTCATGGGGATATTCTGACAATAACTAACCAAATACTTAACTCTGGCAGAAAAATATCTATATTTTCATTATACTAATAAACTTATTTGTTCCCAATACAAATTTCACCTTATACTACCATGCTTTCTATGATTTTAGTTTTAAGCTTAAAATAATATTTTGTGATTATCAGCTATCTTTTAATGTGGCTGGCATTGTAGAAAGATCCTTTCCCCCAACTTTCAAAATGCATAAACAGTAATACAACATTTTCATTTTTATTATTACCAAAGCCTTGTCACCCAAAGCTTTGGGTGGGGAAAATTTTAGAAACTCACAACAAAATTTTTCACATTATTCTCAATTTCTGTAGAAATGCAATGTAAAATTCATGTGCTCATCAGCTATTCCCCTTTAAAAAACACAGTSTGAACAATTATAAAAATGCACATTGCTTTTCAAAACTGTAAGAGCATAATTCTAATGACAAATTAAAAACTTAGGATAAAATATTTTGAAAGGTAAAGATCACTAATATTCTTAAAATAAAGGAAATAGGTAACAATTAATATTCCAATAACTCAACCATTGGCAATGCCTTCAATATAGAATCCAGCTTCTATATAAACTCAAGTCTAAAAGAATACTTATCCTCCACATGACTGAGAATAGAAATGTATTCTAAAATTACTAAAAATTTAATTTTAGTATTTTGGTTCAATACTCATACCACTGTTTTAGTATTTTGAAAGCATATCTAAAAATAATTTAGTTTTATAATTTATGAGGACATGTAGCTTCCTCCTTCCTCTGCCCATATATTTACCAACATTAACATATAGCTACATAAAATATTTACAAAACTGCAATCCACTAATAAATATACCCCCATCAAAAAATAAAAACTAGCCAACTGAAATAAAATATTAATAACAAATGATCAGTATATATCTACTAAGTAAAAGAGTTATGAAAGGTGAAAGTAAATGACTCAAGTTTTAACCACTAAAACTGTGCTATTAGCAATGGAATGTTTAAAAAAAATCTTAGGGGAAAATCACCCTAGATCAACCCAATTAATATTTTGAATGAATGAAATGAAGAAATAGCTGAATGAATACTGAAATTGTGACAACATTTAACACCTTGAGATGTTCACAACAATTTGGAATATACAGAGATGACTTAAATACAAACTAGTTGAAATTCAATGTGGTTCAGTGTCGAGATGCAGTGGGTTTCTATTTGTAGAACAAAGAACCTCAACCAAAAACATATATAACTACTAAAATATTCACAAGTACAATTATCAAGGCTTTAAAAAGAATACAATATTTTTTACTATGTAAATCTCCCCTCTACCCACCCACCCACGCCTCCCTGCATTTTCTAATGTTTGGCATAAGTGACCAACAAACCAGAATAGAATACAGATTTTAAAAGACTAATTTACTCATTTCTATTTAAGAACAACATGCAATCACTTATAAATTCAGTCTTTTTAAAAAGCATCCTTACATAAAACAGTGGGGGGGGGGGGAATCCCGGCTATACATATGAAGCACAGTTTAAGCTCGATACAACTGACCAATCAAAATTAGTGAATGCACTGCATCTCTCTGCAGTGAAGAGAAGCGACAAGGTAGGCTGTCATTCTGCAAAAGCTGCTCAGAACAGGCTTTCCTCTGAAAAGCAGTGCAGTTCCTTTTTATAAAGACTGAATCTAAACGTTGTCTCTGGAGACAAGAAGCCTTCAGTATGTTAAATGACTTTATTATGTATTTTCGGATGCTTATTGATTTCACAGTAGGAAGAGTGAGAGACTGCAGCAGCCTCTAAGCAGCCTTTCCCGTTCCATACATTAGCAGTACTGCTGAAACAATGGCATAGTACAGACACATATTTTCATTAAGGTCATTTCTGAAGAGGTGTTTATAACCCTCTTCCCCCAGTTCTCTACAAACAAGTGAACAAAATGAATCAATCAAAACTGGAAATGCTTCAACTACATCAAGAATTTATCAAATCCTTAGCAAAGGTAAGATGTGTTCCTTCTTACAATATACAGCTGCTTTTGAAATTGGCATAGTGGGGTAAAATTGTTTTGAAATTTTTCAGTCTAAATTTAAAGTTTATGTGTTTATTTCTACTCAATGCTAGATTTGTAATTTTTAGATCTATTTCATTTAAGACATGATATATTTTAAATGCAATTTTTAGGATGTACTGTTAAATTGAAGAATAGTCTGTTAATTACCTACAAAGACATCAGCTTTTAAATCACCTCAGACATACTAAATATTCTTAATGTGATCAGTACAGTTTTTCTTAAGTGTCCAAAAACTGCTTAYATTTCTTATAAGAACCATGTTTACCATTTAGTTGTTATTTATTACTCAATTTTATGTTAACATTATWATTGGGCATGGACATTGAAAATTATTTAATTTGCAGTTACATTTTGGTATTGCCTTTTATATTTCAACCACATGAGTAATTTATCAATGGAAATTTAGAATGTCTTATCATAGAATCTATCTTAATGAGTTATAATTCACACCATGTGCTAATAATTAAGCAAGCTACCTTTTTACAGCTGTATATGTTAAATTTATTATAAAGACAAGGGAATGGCAGTATGTTTAGAGTATACAACTGTTTATAATCTGAAAATACTGGTTAACGTCTAAGAAGAGAGCAGAAATACTTTTAAAATACAGCCTTTCTCTCAGGTTATATCTATAATGCTTAACTCTACTATTAAGTAATACAATTTCTGCCAGGACAAGGGAGTATTTTATTTCAAGAAACTTAATTGTATGCATATAGCTATGGCTCTAGCAATACAGTTTCCTTACTTAGAGAACAAACACTATATGGCTTTAAATTAAAAAAAAAAAATGAAGTAACTTTCAAGTAATTAGAAATTGTTAAGAACCCTATTTCTTAACCATTTGTTTTCCTTTTCACAAGGGCCCATAGCAACTAATTCAGTATTTACAACCAACAATCTGAAGATTGCAACTGACTGAGAATCTCCCTAGCTCTCTGAACCACAAACTACAAGATATTTCTCCTAAGAAACTAAGGAGTTAAAACCAGGGAATAGCTCTATATTACTGCTGGAATATAACAAATCTACAGTATACTAAGAAGATGCTACAAATAATAACCACAAAAGGAAACACAATATGATTACAAAAGCCTGGGGTGAAAATGGTGAGCATTTTTAAAGGGGGAGTTTAACACACCAGAATCGTGGAAGCTATAGATTCCTGAAGAAACAATGAAATATGAGTTTCAAAAAAAAGAATGACTAATTTCACCAACAAGCAAAATGAACCTTATGTTTTCTACACTATTCAGCTATTCATATCAATTGATGTGACTAATGGATTTTTCCATCTGAGCTTTATGACCAATTATGTATCCTCTTCTAATGAAAACAAACCAAATTAAATAGCACATGGTTTTCATCAAAACAACCTGGACTGGATTTTAATATAAAGAAATTATGTGATCAAGAAGTAATTTCAAAACCATGAGGACTGGTATACAAAAAGATTTACAATTGTAACAAAAGGATGTCTAAATACATTTTAGAAGCTAGAAAACTTACATTTCCTTTTTTGTTTTCACATATTCTGGAAAATAAAGGGACACTATCATATATTCCCTCAAAGGAAAATTTCTATCATTTGAGGAAGTTTCTCTTGGTCGTGACTTTCTAAGGCAAAACAAACACAAATATTATGTACTGTTCTTTAGAAATCCATCAGCTAACTAAAGTTCATAATTTATGCAGTTGAAGTACTGGAGAGAAAATGAAAGAATTCCTGCAAGACATGAAATAAAACACAGCTACTTCACTGCTGTCAGGTAAAAATTCATGTCAAAATCTGTCAATGATATCATGTGTCAATTTGTGAAAATTTGCCATAGTGAACCAAAAGGCCCATAAGGCATCAGCAAACAGGTAGGTCAGAAAATGCATGCACCCCACCACACTGGTTAACATTTACAAAAGAAATTAGATAATTTTTCTTAATTATCATCAAACTTAACATTTCTGTTTTATTTAATTGTAAACATAACTCATGTGACAAAGACCTGATGTTTAATTTGTCAGTTCAAAAAACTTGGCACACTTAGAATTTTCYATTTTCATAAGATTTCAGTGTTAGCGAAGATCTTCATTTACGTGAATATGCTTCTATTAATACCCATACCACTCAAAAGAAATTAATATTATCATTTGTTTCTGGAACATTATCCCAAAATAACATGCAGAAATAAAATTATATTCTAAAACTTGTCAAAGTAAACCAAGTAAAAGGGTAACATAAATTCTGAAAATAACTTTTATAATTTTATGTTTGGAATGTAATTTTAGGGATGTACCTGAAATGTTATAGGTGGTTTTATGATATCCAATTTTAACTTTAATAACAATTTGAATATGTTGATTAGACATTTCAGCCTAGAAAATCAGGTATTATTTTTATAAATTACTCTAAACCCCTATATATTAAAATATAGATCTGCATGAATTTTTGCAAAAGAACTTGTTTATTTTCAAAATTTTCTTCAAAATTAAACACTGGGTGATACATAAAAAAAGGTTTCAGAGGTAATGTGCAACTTTAAAAGCTTCCTCAAAAAATGGGTTTTACATATTCCTTTTCCTTAGAATTTAATTTTTTACTTTAAAAGCTGTTTAAACAAATAAACTCAACTAATATATTCTTTTAAACCACTTCAAAAACGGCTATTTCTTAATATGTATTAAATTTCAATTTTCTCTTTCTATAAGATACAAGAGGGTGTGGTCGCAAAATAAATCATTCATAGGAATGATTAGTACTCTTTTATCAAGCTYTATGGCTTTTTGCTTTGGCTAATGTCCCTTGTCTTCTAATTTTTTAAGTTTGTATATTGAAAAAATTCAGTGAGCATATTCACCGTGATATGTGAAATACTTGCCACTTGCCTATTTTTGTGGTAAATAACTCCGAATATCCCCTAGCACACTGTTAACTTTTGACTATCAAAAGCAATAGATATGACAGTTTGAAACAAATCAGTGCTCTGTACCATATGCCCTTTTAAATGAACACTTTCCCTGTTCGTTTAAAATCTCACAGGAATAATTACACCAACACTAATCATGCTAGAGCATATTAAAATAGCATATATTTTCTATCTACTCAAAACATTTTAAAATAGGCTAAACTTAGTTTTGCATACTGGATAGTTTAATATACAAAAAATATGCTTTCTCTCAAGAATAAATGTCTCATTTATTTCCAAAGGAGGAAAACCCTTTTAGTACATTAAGTAATTTTGCACTATAGGGGAACAATCCCCATAAAGTATTCCTCTGAAAGGAGAATGCAATTTCCTTTTATAACAAAGCAATGCAGTCTTGATGGTTTCTTAATTGTACATTTTCCATTAATAGCATACAAACATAAAAATTAAACTAAATACACAATAAAGGTTTTTTGATTACAAAGAWTACATGTTTTATACGTCATTTAAGTTGCCAAATATCAAAGAGTTTATTTTATTTCACTTTCTAGGGAAAAAAGCCAACTGCTCCAAAAGAATGTGTTTTTCTCCCATTCTGGAAATCAACATGCAGTCTGAATCTAACATTACAGTGCGAGATGACATTGATGACATCAATACCAATATGTACCAAGCACTATCATATCCACTAAGCTTTCAAGTGTCTCTCACAGGATTTCTTATGTTAGAAATTGTGCTGGGACTTGGCAGCAACCTCACCGTATTGGTACTTTACTGCATGAAATCCAACTTAATCAACTCTGTCAGTAACATTATTACAATGAATCTTCATGTACTTGATGTAATAATTTGTGTGGGATGTATTCCTCTAACTATAGTTATCCTTCTGCTTTCACTGGAGAGTAACACAGCTCTCATCTGCTGTTTCCATGAGGCTTGTGTTTCTTTTGCAAGTGTCTCAACAGCAATCAACGTTTTTGCTATCACCTTGGACAGATATGACATCTCTGTAAAACCTGCAAACCGAATTCTGACGATGGGCAGAGCTGTAATGTTAATGATATCCATTTGGATTTTTTCTTTTTTCTCATTCTTAATTCCCTTTATGGAAGTAAATTTTTTCAGTCTTCAAAGTGGAAATACATGGGAAAACAAGACACTTTTGTGTGTCAGTACAAATGAATACTACACTGAACTTGGAATGTATTATCACCTTCTAGTACAGATCCCAATATTCTTTTTCACAGTTATAGTAATGTTAATCACATACACCAAGATACTTCAGGCTCTTAATATTCGAATAGGCACAAGATTTTCAACAGGGCAGAAGAAGAAAGCAAGAAAGAAAAAGACGATTTCTCTAACAACACAACATGAGACTACAGACATGTCACAAAGCAGTGGTGGGAGAAATGTAGTCTTTGGTGTAAGAACTTCAGTTTCTGTAATAATTGCCCTCCGGCGAGCTGTGAAACGACACCGTGAACGGCGAGAAAGGCAGAAAAGAGTCTTCAGAATGTCATTACTGATTATTTCTACATTTCTTCTCTGTTGGACACCAATTTCTGTTTTAAATACCACTATTTTATGTTTAGGCCCAAGTGACCTTTTAGTAAAATTAAGATTGTGTTTTCTAGTCATGGCTTATGGAACTACTATATTTCATCCTCTACTATATGCATTCACTAGACAAAAATTTCAAAAAGTCTTGAAAAGCAAAATGAAAAAAAGAGTTGTTTCCATTGTGGAAGCTGATCCCATGCCTAATAATGCTGTAATACACAACTCTTGGATAGATCCTAAAAGAAATAGAAAGATTACATATGAAGATAGTGAAATAAGAGAGAAATGTTTAGTACCTCAGGTTGTCACAGACTAGGGAAAAGTCTAATTTTCACCAAATCCACATTCAGAGGAGTTTTAGATTTGAATTGTAAAAAAAAAAAAAAAAAATGATCTTACTGCCAAATATAAAAAAAAAAACCATTTTAAGTAACGGTTATGTTGTAAATTTTCAATGTGAATGTCAATTAGATTAGCTCATATATATTCAATTTCTTCATTACTTAATGTATTTGTTGCATGGCAGTTTGTTAAAGTAAATATCATGTGTATATTTTGTCAATATTATGTCCATCAGAAGATATTCGTGTAAGTCATATTTTCTAAAGAATAAATACATAGCCTTAAAACAGTGTATAACTTTAAAAAGTAACTGACACAGGTATTTACTTTTTAAAAAAATATATGAAGTGTATTGTTTCTAAGCCACAAACTATAAAGATATATTTATATGATGACAACTGGAATAGCATTTAACATAAAAACAAAAATTATAGGCTCAAAACAATTCAAGGTTTTCTAGGTTATATTTCCTGATAGAGTATACTTGCTATAATGTTTGATGCATCCAAAATAATGAAGTGTGGTTAAAACTTCATTCTTTCTTTTGAATGTAGAAAATCATAGGATTTATTAGTATTTTAAAATTCATACACCAAAAACCAAACATCCCCATATATGCACACCAACATATGGAAATTTTAAAATTCAAGTTTACTATTAAAAAGAAAAGACTGATTTCCTAGATCAAGGATACTATACCTATAAAGTACAAATGAACTGACAACAAAGGGAAGGAAGAAAAAGCTACAAAGCTTCCTTCTTCACTTTGCTTGATTCTAAGCCAAATGTTCTAGGTAAACACAGAATACTGGTGAAAAACAGTGCATTAAAATAAAGTTACTTTTGAACTTTATTCAACTCAATTCTGTTTGCATAACAAGTTAATTATACAAATGGAAGAGAAAAAAAGACTTTTATATCATTGTAGGAAAGCCTAACAAAGCCACCTGTTTCTAATTTTAGATACATAGCAACTTTAGAGCAATACAAATTTACACAATGTTCTTAAGCAATCATAGCTCCTAGTTCTTCAAAATATCATTGTTTCCACAATGAAAATCGTTAAGGAACAATAAATCTCACTTTTTCTACTCCATCACACATAATTTAACTTTATGAATTTTTCTCTCCAATCCTGAATTCATGTAAGGAAGATATGAAATTACCAATTCCAACTACAGATGATAAGGATTGGAAATTTCATATCAAACATATTTTCCAACTGGTGTAATGTAATAATCTGGCAATGAGAAGTAATATCACTATGAGAAAGTTAGCAATAGGTTATATAAAATAGGCAAGTACCTGCTATACTGTAATTGGTTAGCTAAACAATGGTTATTCTATTTTTTAACACTGTATCCACTAAATCAAGTAATAGTTCATTTTTACAATTAAAAATATAGATTCAATAATATATCACTTTTATATAAATAAATGGGGTTCATTCAATCTAGTTTACTAAATACCCTAATCCCTGGGAAATGAGAACCATGCAATAGTTTGAATTCACTGAGATTACTAGCAAATTAAATAGCAATTTATTTCTGATAATAATACTAACATAATGTCAAATCTTGGCAAAGGTCCAGTTTCCTTCTGCTGTATTTTCTACCGTTTTATGGAATTGGAGAAATGCTTCAATTTGATGAAATGTAGCACAAGCAAGTAAGACTTATTTTTTGAAACCCTGAAGAGAAACTAACATCGTGGACACAAGTATTAAGGAAAGCTTTATTCAATAAATATATTTGCCACAATATCTCCTGATATCTTCATTTGTAAATGTAAAATGCATTTTATACTTAAACTTCCAAGTATAAATTAAACTTTTAATATTTAATTTTATACTTTTAATAAAAATTAAAACTATATTTAAAGTTTTCATGTTAAGAAAAACCTCTTTGTGTTTTAAACACTTTTAATCTTCATGTTTATAAGCATGCCAAAAAAAAAGTATAAAAACAGATCTCTAATATATTAGCCTAATAGCTTTCATGCATTCTCATCTTCTGTAATAACAAAATAAAAAATAAATGACGATGTTATAGCTTTGCCCTAAAAGCTACTATTTCTGCACTTGACATTGGAGAAAACAGTTCACAAGCATTTTGCCCACCTATACAGATGTTTCAAATATACAAAGTGCACCCACTGATTTACAACAAAGAAAAGTCAGACCTATTAGACAACTGCTAATAGCTTTTTAACATAATAAAGAGTCCATAATATGTGAATGTAGATAATACTTATGTATCAAAAATTCAGCTTTCAAAAACAAGTCAGAAGTGTTTTCAAATACAGAGATAAATGAGAAAATAAGTTTAGACAACTTTTATTTTTTATTAAGTGTTAATTCTATGAAAAGATGAAACTTCACTTTCTTCAGGATGGTCACTGTCCCATTATGTAAAAATTTCACCTTATTACTAATAATTTTACCCCCCAAAAAAGCATTTTTTTGTTTTGCTAACTTTTTCCTGTTAGAATATAAGTTCTAAAAGCAAATGCAATATAGACAACAGTAAACTTGCTACACTTCTTAAAACTAATTTTATATCCATGTGCTATAAATCAGAAACACAAATATGAATTTCCATATGCAAATTGAGTCAATTTTTCAAAAAGATAAGAATTGGAATTCTTTCCTTAAAAACTAACCTGAGTTCCAAGAGGTTGGGAAAATTTCACTGCCTTCTTAGTTCTGTTTGCTCATTTAAGGAGGTTATTATTCTACCAACTACTACCTAGAAATGATGTTCAAACTTATTATGATAATTAAATTATTTACAATTATGCTTTTTTTAAAAAAAATGCCATTCACAATCATTCTGGTTTTGCAACCATGGTAAGACAATTTTTTACATATGTGGTCTGTTTTTTCATTCCCTAAATATTATAGCAAAATCTCACTTCTCTAGGCATTAAAAATCAGATTCCTCATTTAAATGCTGTTAGACTTAAGGATGAAAATCTAAAATTATAAGTAATAGACCCTTTATAAGGTAAGGCTTTATTTAACTACAATAATTTCAAGACTATTTTCCAAAGTCAATAATATTTTTATTTCATTACATTTTATAATTATAAATTTAAGTAAGCATTGTAATCCAACTAACCTTTGAATTCTTGCATATAGAAGACAGTATTATGACAGAATATTGAATTACACAAATAGAGTTATTACCCTCAAAAGCTTGAAATCTATAATCAAAGTTCAGGTCAAGTATCCCTTACCTGAAATGCAAACGTCAGATTTTTATCAGATTTGTAATATTTGTATATGCATAAGACATATCTTGTGGGAGGAACCCAAACCTAAACACAAAATTCATTTATGTTTCATATAAATTTTACACACATAGCCTTAAGATAATTTTAGACAATACTTTCGGTCCACTTGCATTTCAACTAAAATCCATCACATGGATTCAAGTAGCAGAATTTTTCCCTTGAAGTGTCATGTTTATGGTCAACAAGCTTTGGATTTTGGAGCATTTTGGAATTTTAGGCTGGGGAAGCTCAAAGCCATATTATAAAATATAAAAACACCTGAAAGAAGAAACAGAATGTGGTAAATGCTATAAAAAGAATATTCAATTTCTTAATAAGAAGAGGATTGCACTGAATTTAAGAAAAATATAAACAAAAGTATTGTTGAGAAAAACTACTAAAGCATATTTTGGTAAGAGCAAAATGTTGTTTGGAAGGAAAGTAAAGCAGAAGTGAGAAGTTATCTAAAATGTTTAACTTGGGGCCATAAGTATAGGCCCAAAATGCCAGCAGAGATATCTGAACAGGAGATATAACAAAATGAGAATGAGCTTCCAAAAGAACTTGAATGCAATATGTAGAGACAGCTGATTATGTAAGACACAGAAGACAGAAAGTTATTGCCATCACCTGGATATGTAGGCTAAAAAATGATGACAATAGCCAGACCTCTTGGCATACATCTGTAATCCTAGCAACTCTGGAGGCTGAGACGAGAATTACAGCCTAAGCAACTTAGTGAGATCCTATTTCAAAATAAAAAACAAAAAGGCTGGGAACATGGTTCAGTGGTAAAGCACTCCTGATTTAAATCTCTAATACTAAAAAAAAAAAAAAGAAAAGAAAAAGAAAAACTAATGATGGCAAACTGGCAAACAAGTGTACAGTTGTGTGAGAGACAAATGAAGACAGAATCAACAAGGTGTGCCAACTGACTAGAAAGCCAAGTGGTATAAGAAACTGAAAATAATAGCCACAAGGAAGATCATAAGAAACTAGATTATCCTCAATGATGGAAGAACTATTTAATTATGCTTTGCATAAAGTACATAACAGGGCAAAAAAAAGAAGAAAATTTAATAAAGAAGCTCAGAAGAAAACTTAAAAGAAGAAAAATGTAATAAAGCAAAACAAATAATATTGTTAAAGAATGTTCTTAGTTACTAGATTTCATTTCAAAATGAAATTTTCAAATGAATATTTTAAGTTGTATACTTAACATTGTGCAATTGGTTTATTCCATTTTCCCATTAAACATATCTTTTTCAGTAATTTTAATTTTAAAGAAATTATAAACAGTGAAAAAAATGCCAACATATACACAGGGAAAAATACAAATATTATCCTTTGTATTCCCCCCCCCTAATAATTAATTATGAACATCCACTTACTTTATTATAAACATATTTTCCAAATTCTTTGTTAAAGGTGAGAAAAAGATAATTTCTAAATTTAAAAAGTTTAAATACATAAATATATCTAAAASATAGTAAGGCAACCTGTTTATATTATAATCAGTGGCTTCAAACTATACTTAAAGATTCCTTGGAAAATATAAGGAAGGTTTATATTTCTTAGCAAATAAAGCAGGTCATTTTTTTGGACGGAGGCAAAAAAGCAAGGAAAAGGCATAAAATACTGTGTTCCTTTCCTCCAAATAAAATGAGAAATACGGTAATTTTTGGAGACTATTTTCTTTACATTTTAGAGATGGACACTTCTTTGTACTCTTTGTACATTCTTTGAAAGCAAGTCCCCTCAGGAAGCGCATGAACTTCAAGGAAATTAAAAAGATGAGTTGAATTGTGTAAATATTAGGGAGAAAAAAGGGATCACAGATAGAATCATATAAGAGAAAATTCAGGAGATAATAAAACCCAGATAAAACTGAAAAAGACGTAAAAATAGGTGTTCAGCTACTAGAAAAATACAAACAGAACACAGAATCATAGGTTAGTCTTCAAATTAAGTTTTCTTCTGGGCTTTTTCTTTCTTTCTTTTTTTTTTTTTGCTAAAGAGCAATAATTCAAAATTCAA